CAGACGCTCAGACATACATACACACAGACACTCACACATACGCACACAGACACTCAGACACACACCACACACACTCACAGACACATACACACACGCGCTCCTCAATAGGCCGGCCCGATTCCCATTCGTTCTCCCTTTTCGTAACGCAGCTTTAGGATATAGGACCATCTCATAGCGGCCAGATTTGTGGAGTCTGAGCTTGGGGACATTTTAGATCATATTAGTAAAATTGTCGTGCTATAAGTGATTAAGGGGATACTTAGACACATAGACGTCAAATTGATTAGCATTGGTACTATACCCAAGCTCTTTCCTTTCGCTTAGTTGTCCAGATGTATTACATATTAATTCGCAATATTATAGTGGATATAGTTAATTTAAATATCTTCCTGAGAAAGTAAGAAGAGATAGGACATGGACTGTGTTGCGTGGGCAACACCCTCGAGTTCTATTGTCCACTTACATTTCGCTTGGTGGTAAGTCAGTCACCACTCATGGGAGCGCTTCTTGAATCTCTTAAAACACTGTGAAAGACTTTATCGTTAGTAGAGTTGTGCTATGAAGATATTTAAGAAGTTAGTACAGTTTTTCTGTCCGTTTGAACAGAGTGTTTCTTTTTGGAATGTGTCGCGAATGGAGAAATATCTGCAACGTGCAGATAGTGAGCATGGAACTAAAACCGCGCTTTCGAAAACCAACAGTTTGTATTAAGCTGGTTCCGATGTAGGGATGCTGTCTGCAACAGGCTTTATTTTGCATTGAAAACTGGAGTAAACTTTTTTATTTATTATGAGTATACTGAGATATGAGCAAGACTTGGGATCCCATTTCGGCTTTGAGCTCACGATTACCTGCAAGTTGAGGGGAGGAGGAGGATGGGAGCTCACGTGCTGTTCATACACCAACCACTTTGCCCTTCTTGCGGTCAATTTTTTTTACAATATCGGTGCAATAAAAAAATAATTACTTCAAAAAGATGAAGCAGGAGTCACCGTTGGTGTGCTAGATAGCACGAGAGATCCCGGTAAGAGCAATCACGCGCTCGAATTCCACTGAGGTTCTGAGTTGTGCTCATATTTCACCATCATCATGATTGTATTTCACATCGTACCCTACCATGAAAAAAAATTGGCAGTAAATTAAGAGTTCTATTTTTCTATTTTATTTGATCCGCCTCCACGTCTACTGTGCGGATGTCAGCACTTCTCACATTCGATTCGTTTCCTCGCATCCATTGTCCACGAAGGTCTTCTAAGTTTTTACGTGTGACTTCGGTTGCAGCTTGAGGATTTCCATTTCATCTCGAATGTCGTAGAATGCTGGTTGAGCAATTCTCCCTGGAGTCTTGAGATAGCTGGGCTGGAGGGTTCCCAATTGTATTGCAGAGAGTGATTTCTTCCCAGATAAGTCCGGTATCAATTTCCCGACCCTGGAGGGATGAGAGGCTTGTTTGACCCGGAGCAGAATCAAACTAGCACCATAATAATAATATTAATTAATAAAGAGTTAGGACATATTTGATTATTTATTTACACAACCTGTCTTTCACATCTGCTATGCGGTTTCCTGCACTTTTTGTATTCGTTATGTCACCTCGCATCCATCATCTGCGGTCTTCCAACTTTTGCATGTGAGTTCGGTTGCTGTTCGAGGTCTTTCCTTACGTCAGGAATGTCGTTTAATGGTGAGTCGATTCACCCTGGACAGCCGGGCTCGCGCGTTTCCACTCGAGCTGCAGGGAATGAACTGTTTTCAGAGAAGTTTGTTACCAGTTTTCCGACTCCATAGATATTAGAGGTGTTTTGTAGGTCCAGTGTGGAGTGGAATCAGCACCGTTCTCGTGATGAACAGCATCATTACCACTACGTTTTTTCCTCTCTCCCTCTCTCTCTCTCTCTCTCTCTCTCTCTCTCTCTCTCCCACTTATTTTAGTTTGAATATTCAGTTACTTAACACATTTTATGTCATGTTTAGATGTACCACTAACAATAATTTGTGTTAGTTCGATGTTTCGTCTTTTGATACTCGGTAATAAACCACTTTTTTACAGGTACGTGTATATAGCGAGAACGACGACCTGCTTTCTGTGTTTCCAGACAAGAATGATTTGTCATCGCTTCACGTGAGACGCGAAAACGTCCGGAATGTAGAGGATTAGGTTTGCAAATTTATCATTTGAGAAATCCTTGTTCCAGAAATTTCTTTAAAATTTTGCCAATTATGCCACTGCATTGCTCAATATCTGAAGAAGCCTCAATGATTTATCATCCTATCATAACGAAAGGCCATCCCAAAATATAGAACATCAGTGTCCAAAAAGAAAGCAGTGGAAGCCGTTTCAGCTCCGTCTTCATCGACCTTTGTAATGCAGGCTGTCTCCAACAGCAATAATCCATCGCTGCGATGAACTTAGATGAAGAAAGTTTTTTTGTAAACTATTAGCATAGTGAACAGCTTTCTCCTGATTCCTTCTGACATATCATCTGTGTTAGACGAGGTAGCGTTTAAATGCAAAGAGTGTGGTGAAAGGTTCTCTACAGGGAAATATACTGTTGAAAAGGTAATGAATGAATAGTGAAATTCACAGCCTCCACTTTCTTCCTATCTCCACTCAAGCATTGCACGCAGTGCGATTCTTATATTATTTTTTGATCAAATTGTGTTTCAGCGGAATCACAACATTTTGAAACTCACCCGTATCAACTGTTCATGGTTATTGCTCAAAATTGGCCATTGTTTTGGCTTAACCCAGTGTTAAGCGAATCTTATTGAGAACGCCCGAGCACGCATTTGCATCTCTCTTTCACTTACAATGAAGTCATTTTTTCTCCTATTGCTGTAAAATGCATGATTCTGTTGGGAATAAGAAAACAATGCTGCTAAGAACAAATTTCTTGGTCTGTTGAGGACGTTTCTGAGGACAACATTGTCGTTAACGCTGATCCTTTCATCTGCTCTATCGAGAAATGCTTATAAATACTGAAGACTATAGCTAAGGTCGGTTCGTCCAAAGGTGGTAGCGTTATTTTTAAAGGCTATCATAAGATAAGGCGGGCCGGACACGTAATGCGTGTGAATAACAACCGATGGACAAGAGCCGTTAGTGACTGGACTCCTCGGAATGTTAAACGCCCTGCAGGAAGACCAACGACGCGATAGTAAGAGTTCTTCACGAAAAGCCTAGAAGAAAGATATGATGCTCGACGAGTCCTTAGAGCGAGCAAAACCCATTGGGCTACTCTTGCGCGCAACAGAGAAAAATGGAAGATTTACTGGCTCCGCTCGAGTTACTCAACGATCAACGGGACTACAGGTGATCGTTCTGTCCTAAGAAGCCAGTGCTTATAATGGTATAGAACTTCCGTTTCCATTAGTATCAAGTAGGTACAGTTAATCCATATTAAATAACTTTTCTATCGCGAGGCAAAGAAGTTTTGCTAAATTATATGGTCTATAGTTAGGTTGGCTGTGCTCCTTCGCCTAACATTTTATAGATATTTTTTCACATTCTATTACAAATGATTACTACTAATTATTTATTATTAGTGGCTAAGAACACAAAATATGAGCACCGATTTCCATGTTTGCTATTGATTCCGTGTGACACAACCTTTGCTAATCTTAAGCGAACTGTACACGACAAGGACATTTCACATAAGACAGGTTCCATTCCAGTAGCTAAAGCAAACAATGAAATGCAGCCAAAATTCATGGAATTCGTCATGAACGTACATATTTACAGTGAAATTTACAGAGCTCGGAGTCCTCTGAGAGAAGCGTCGGCCTCCTGTGCTCAAGATGGGGAAATTTTTAGCCTACGAACGTCACTGGGCACGAATAAATATGAACAGAAAGAGAAAGAAAGAAAGAAAGAAAGAAAGAGAGAGAGGGAGGGAGAGAGAGCACTCTAATAAAGGGATCAAGAAAGTGGTCTTCTTTTGGCATACAAGTTGTTCTCAATATGTACTATTGTGTCGTCAGAGTAACAAGTTCTGGTCTCTCGCCCTTGACTCGGAATATATCTAAGGTGCTACTTTTGTGCCTTCCATTGCCAAGTAACGAAAGTCGATCCTGGTGGTGCATTCCATCTCAGTTTTGTGGACGTACTCATCTTAATTGTGAAGTGACAGTGACAAAGTCTAGGTTATAGGTGGTACCCTTTTTGTACGTCAACCGTGATATACTCCATCATCCGATACTGTGACTATTGATATCCCAAGTTTATCACTTTGCATTTCCATTTAGGTGGTTGACACTTTATTTACGGTTTATTTTCCACTTAGTTTCTTGTTTTCCAGGAATTGTTTGTTTTCTCCGGAGGATCCTCTTCTTATAGGACACTTTGTATGTTGATTACTTGTTAAATTTGTACGCAAATTATCGTCTTTTCATTAGTTTCGAAACTTCATTTTTCCCAGTAGATTTCTTACACTAGCGTGTTCCTCCTTGAGGCTGTTTCCTTCACGTTATCTTCTATATGAGCTCTCTATGGCTACGGTACTATCAGTTTACTTTTGAAACGTGTTTCATAAGTATTGATAATGGTTTTTTGGTTTGTAGTAGATCTGATGTGAAATAATGTTGGCTACATTCTAATAAATTGATGCCCTGCTTTCTTTTTATTTGTGTTTTCTTAATGTCTCTCTGGGTTCTGAACCTACTGTGTATCTCATCTTTACTCTAGAGACTTCATTACCTAGGCTACATCCAGTATGTACGGAACTTTTTTTGCAACTCGCTTAAAAATTATATCTATTGGTTCTTCACCAATTATTGACATTTTAATTAAAGATGGTGTTCATCTACAAAATCCTCTACCTTCTAAATTTCCTCTGGTTGTCAAAAAAGGTTGTGAGGTCATGTCTTGTTAGTGTTAAAAAGTACTGTAGTGATTGGTGCCAGATTTATGGAGCCGTGTCGCAATTCAGTGTAGATATCAATGCATTCGATTGTCTATCGTGATGACCTTATGTATCCCATTCAGAAAGTGTTTTTTAAAGATGGTGTCATTTGTCCTAGTGGAAGCAGAATCACATGAAGTGCTCATGGAGCTGATTCAGTATTTGGTAAGTGATAAACTCTTCATTTGGCGTGTTTTATTTCTGGTTTTTCTGCCTTTAATTATTCTTCCCAGACCGGAAACTCATTGAAATTCACCGTCGCAGCAGACATTCGCAGACTTTTTGCAAGGACTTATTTAGATGTTGAAGGCACATCTGCCGGCGATGTAACTTCGTCAAGTGGAGATATGAATCCCGTTAGGTTAGACTTACTTCGTTTTGCATTTTCGTTTTGTTTTTGTGGAAACTGTGTGTGTATGCATATTCATCGCATACATATACATACATATGTGTATATATACATGCACATATATATGTATATATATGTTTATGTAATGACTTCCCGTAGCAATTCCCAATACCGACTTTGTGTTAATCTCGGCATTGAGATGTTTTTCTTCAATAAGCAGGCACGAGGTTGTTATAGAACTTATTAGGATACAATAGCTGACATTACGGCTGTTTCGCCTTCTTCAGAACCTGGAAAGGTCAAATTGAGATGTGACCTACTCAGCCAAACACTTTCATAACCCCAGCAGATAAAACTTAACAAATAAATTTATATTCGCATACGTAACAGCTTTATTTCAACACCTACCGTTTATTCGTTGTAAATGTTTCAATTAGTTGGCGGAGAGCAGCCGCACAGAGTAGTACATGGTCGAGGACTGTGTCTATGTCAGATCGTTGGATTAGCCTGAGGTATGGCGCCAGGTCACGCGTGATGACAAGACACTCCTCCTTGTGGTTCATTTTTGAATTTTTGGGATTGATCCAAAACGCTTCGAGAGTTTTACGCGCTGATGTTTTCGATTCGTGTGTGAGGGTAGTGACTTCCACTTCAAAATCTCCATTGTATTCCTGCATCCTATGCGCACGTAGTGGAGTGTTTGGTTTTAATTTAGATTTACCATCTAGGTGTTCTCTTATGCGGACGCAGTGCGGTCTACCCGTTTCCTCAACGTATTCGTCCCTGCACGCTTTACAAGAGGTCAGATAGACTGTACCCGAACTCATGCAATCGCCGTCTCTACCGTCAGGGCAAATTTTGCAGTTTTCCGTTGAACATAGACAGTCATATAGGTGGTTGCGAACTAGCTGATGTCTTGGAGTGTCCGATGGCATTTCTATCACTCTTACGGAATTCTCTAGACCGGCCCTTATTAAGCAACGTTTTATGGCTGCACTTATTTCGTTTGAAATAAAGGGCAAGAGGAACGGAGCCTTGTTTTCGCTAGAACTATCGCTCTGGGGCGTGGGTTTTCCTCTATGCCTATACCGAGAAGCTACAGTTTCGTAACCATTTATAGCGGCTATTATATGAGCCAGTTTCAAGGATTCTTCCCTCTGATCTCTACCTGTGCTCACGCTGGTGGCGGTTCGAAACATATTTCTTATAAGCGCCCTTTTAGTGTGTGAGAGATGAGAGGAGAGGTAATGAACCACTACATTCTTACTACTTGGCTTTCGATACCATTTTGCAATGTAGCCGTTTTCGGATAGGTTAATTTGAACGTTTGGAAATGGAGGCCAGTTTTCTTTCGGTTTCTCACGGGTGAATTTTATGTACTCTGACTATTCGTTCAATAACTGAAAGCACTTGTCCATCTCCTTTTATGTGAAGCAGATGACAAAACAATCATCTATATACCTACAGTAGAGTAATGACCTGAGATCGATTACTAGTGCTTCCACTTTAGACGTAAAGGCAACGGCAAGGGTTGGTGCCATTCGTTGTCCTATTGCCAGCCCCCTAATTTGCGCGTAATATTTCCCGGACCATCTGAAGATCGAGCAGTTTAAACAAACCCTTAAGAGAACCATAAGCTGCTGAATCGAAAAGCCATGCATGTTAATTGCTCCTTCGTGTTGCTCAAGAAGATCGCGGATGACTTACATTGCTCAGTCGTTCGACACGTTAGTGTAAGGGGCGGTAACGTCGAGCGATTCCATAACGTACGCGCTTTTGGACATGCGTTGCGCAGACGGTCTAGGAACATTTGGGAGTTCGTGAGTTGGGTTGGTATGTGCTTGGGCAACTGGTTGAGAATTAGATTTATAAACCAAAAATTCTATCCGTAGGCCCGTATGTACAGCTAGCTGATGATGGGTCTAACTTTAAAGGAGGAGGGTCGGTAGACGCCAGATCATCAGCGGATATCAACTTATGGGTTTTGATAAGTAAGTATAAGACGGGACATGGCGCTTCGATTGCCATTTTGACCCATTCGCTGTTCAGTTTTCGATTTTGACTTCTGAATTCCTTGTCAGTTGATGCGCGATAAGGAGATGCGTCTTCAAGATGTTTTGCCGTTATATCAACATTTAACTGGCGAGAAATTACTACAAACTCTCCAGCCTCATCACTAACTGATAGCCTAATAGTCTTTGATTTTATTAGTTCTCGAACCTATCGCATACCAAATTTTTGCGCAGCTGTAAGGTTCGAACTAAACTTTCTCGCGCGATGATGGTTCAGGACTTTGAGAGTTTCGCTCGAAAATATGCGAAAGCCGACTTCGTCGTTTTGGTCTTGCTGTTCTAAAGAATAATCGAGGAAATGTGGAGATGGTGGTAGTGCCCTCCTCGTTGTTCCTTTTTATTTCGTGTCTCAATTCAAGCGTTGCTGCGGAGTCGATCGAGCTCCAGCTCGTGCAGGGTGCACGCTATCCTACGCAAGGTTTCTTTAGAAACGGGTTGCGCTGGTGAGAACCTTGGACCCAATTCTAATAGCGAGCACGCGTCATCAGGCAGAGTTATGCCTCCTAACACGGTGACCCTTGACTTTCTAGACACGTTATCGGCCACATTTTTAGTGTTAGCGCTTTCGCAAACGATTTTGCTTTGTTTAATTTAAACTGGTTTCTGCGAATGATCTAGCAAATTTTGAAGCTTTCTGCTTAAGGTTACTTTGCATTCGACCTAATAGAATAGCAAATCAAAATTAACTCACCCACTATTTTCCTCCAAAGGGAATCCTCCAAGTACTGAACACAATAAGCTCTTTCGACTTGCACTTCTTCAATTGCGCGTAACCGCCGAAACGTCGGCTATTGTATCCTAATAAATTCTATAATAACAACCTCGTGTCTGCTTGTTGAAAAAAAACATCGAATTTGTAATGACTGCCTAGTCGATGTTATCGTTTTGCGACCATTAGTAGAAGGGTATAAATGTATGGAATGATAGGGTTAATTCAGGAGCAGTTTGATCAATGTAAGAAATGAGGGGAATGAGAAATATACAAAGTTCTTTGAAATGGTCTCACAAATTGGAAGAATCGGAAACGGGACGGAAAATCAGCGTGAAAGGTAATCACTCTGTGAAAAAAAAAAGTATCGAAACAAATGTGCGATCAGCTAATAAGGGAAGAGGAAGTACAACCTTAATGCTACGTACAATCCATTAGGCTTTTATTTTTGTTGCATTGAGTTTGTGTAAGGATCTACAGTAAAAGTGCTTTTTCCAGGGATTTCTGTTGAAGTACAGAGTTCGCTGCAGTTATTAATCTCATGGCTGCAGGTTTCCAAAACCTTGTCGGTCGTATTTTTATGATGTTTGCAAATTTGCTAAGATTATGAAGCTGTAAATTTGGATTTCGCTTGCGTAGTGACAGCAACGACGGTACTCAAAGAACGTTACCCTTTGAAGTTGGGTATATTATAATACTATTTGCTAGAATTTGAAGACATAGCGTATTTTCAGTAATGATTCGGCTGTTATGAGGTTTTCCGTTTAAGCGGCTGTTGAATTTCTTTAAATTCTCGTATCCAATTCTTTTGAAACGTTTGGAACGTTGGTTACATGTGTTATCCTAGAGTTTGTAGAGTGCCATTCCCGTAGTTTCCAATTTTATCGCACTTTATGGATTTGGCACTATTTGTTTACGATAATAATTTCTGTAGGATTAATGGACTGATGATGGGTGGCTCCACCTACCCAGCAATAAACGGAACCATTTTTCGAGGGTTTTTTTCTTTGCAGAATTGTTGTTTTACTCGTTTGCTTGCATTACTTGGATGACCCGTTTTGACGAGTTTTGCCGGCTCCAGCACTTTTTGTATTCGTTACTTTGCTTTGCAATCATCGTACATTGTGGTGGTTTAATTCGAGCTTACTGGAGGGTGCGAGTCGCTTGCCGTGATCTGTAAAACAACTGCAACTGCGAGTACAGGTGATTGATTCACTTTAGTTACGAACACGTCGACCCAACGTATAGGTGGCCGTCCTAGGAGACGCCTGCATTTTTGTGGAGTCCACTCTACAGTTCTTTTCGTCCATCTGTCGTTTGTTCTTTTCATGTGATCAGCCCATCTACGTTTCGCTCAATTTACGTTTTCCTAAATCTCCCAGATGTATGGATTTCGAAGATCGAAGTTCCGTATTTGGCCTAGATGTGTGTACTGGTTATATTTCAGAAAACATTGTTAAAGAGCCCTGCGAATAGTGTGAAATATTTTTGACGTTGTTGAAATATTAACATAGGTCACTGCAGCATAGCAGAGCGCTAGGAGGACTGTTGAATCGAGAAGTTGATCGCGAAGCTTTGCGTGCTTTTATTTTTTGGTCGGTGGTTTCTTTGAGTAGTTTGGATGCGGCCTATACTGCTATCCTCCTTCTGTCTAATAACTCCTTTATGTTGTTCTGCATGTTCATTGGACATCGGAGGTACGCGTACGAGGTGTTCTCTTTAATCAAAGAACGATCAACTTTGATCTGTTCGTCTTCGTACCGTGTGTTTTTCATGAACTAGGTCTTTTTCCGATTTGTGCGTACTCCGATCTTTTTTTTTCGTTGAGTTCATTGAGGATTGTCTATGGTTCACTAGTACTCCTAAAAAAGATGATGATGTCGAATACCGAAGAGGAATTTCCCATCGATGGATATGTTCTAGCCTCCATCGAGTGACTTCATTGTCCACTATAGTGCGGCAGTAAACGACTTTGGCGATATAATGTCGACTTGTAGAACCCTTTTTATTATGAATATGCTAAGAGGTTGATGGTAAATCTGTATCTTCATGGTAAAATTTCGATAGCAGTGAGCTCTTATGTAGAACGGGTTCACTTCTTTGTCGATGAGCGTTGATAGGATTGCATTCGTTTCGACACTGTCGAACACTTTTTCGTAGTCGACAAAAGTCACGGTTAGGGGCAGATGTTATACCCGACAAACTTCAGTGACCTTTGACACGGTTTGTGTGGTCTATGCAGCAAAATCCTTGTCGAAATCCTGCTTGCTCAACTAGTTGCGCTTTACCCAATGTCCGTGATATGGGCAGTTGGATAAACTCCAAGGAAGGCTTGTAGGGTACATTCAGCGAGCGTATCGGGCGGTAGTTGCGGAGATCTGACATGGCAGTTAAATCTGACATGGATCTGACAGTTAAATGCATGGCGCATCCCTCAGGGACTGATCAACGCCGAGTGCTTTATACTTTTTTTTTATTTACGACAGAAGTAATCTACTAAGTAAATGCTTAAGGAGTTTAGTATTAGTAAGAGTAGAGATTATGTAATATTTTCAAGGACATTCTTTGTAGAAACACATTGTGAACACATCGATGAATGTTTGCCTGATTTCCTCTCCTCGTATTGTGGCGATAAGGTGTCCTAAGTTGAAAATTTCGGTGCGGAAATACATCAGACGTGCGAGTTCCCGCCGGAGGAATTGGACCAGCGGTGAACTCATCCAGAAATTCTTTTTTGCTCATTTTTATGTACAGAGTAGAATTTTTCTTGGCATACGCCTACCAAAAAATCCTTGTTGGTTAATTAGTCGAATCGTTAGGGAAAGTGCAACGGAAAAAAACTGCTTATAAATGAACGGCGGAAAAGAAAATGAGATCACTCACCACGTCATTGATGTATTATTGGCACCTACTCAAGCTAATCGATGGCAGTAGGTTATTCCTGTTATTTAAAAATCTAGTGTGTATCGCGAAATTTTCTTGAGAGTAAGATTTCATCGATCGTTTGTTCATGGATCCATGAGGAAATGTAACTTCGAGATGTGTTCTCGCGGCTTTACGTACAATTTTGAATTCGTGCCAAACTAGCGCTCGAATCTGTGTGATTTACTTTTTTAGACATCCTGAATTGAGCAGAAATTGATATATTAAAGCTGTATGTGTATTATTACATTTAACGGTCACAAAGCGTAAACAAAAGTGGTTTTAAAAGAACAAAGACATTATTTTTTTCTTTTTTCTCTTTTCTGGGGTTCGCGTACTACACACTAGACCGAAGGTCCTTACCTTGCATTTCTGTCGGCTAGTTTTCTATCTAACCCTTCCTCTACCCTTAGGTAGAAAACTAGCTAGGAGAAAAGCAAGGTAAGGGCATCCGTGCTGTAGTGTGTAATACGCAAGCCTTCTGAAAGGGTAATGGTGGTTCGATCTGGCCCGGAGTCCATGTTTTGCGAATATATCAGCATCGTTTTGCTTATATATCATGTCATACCTTACCGTGAAAAATTGTAGTAGACAGTAAATGGAAAGGTAAAAAAGACATTATTAGTTTCTGAACGGCTTCATTCCACTGCGTGAGAACATTTAGAACTAATCTTGAGTTGCACTAATGTTGGAGCATAACTTTTGGGCCCATAATTATCAGAAGTCATAAAAGTGGCAAACCGTTGCTTGTTAGCTGTTTTGTGGTTCATCATTGAAGTTTACAGATTTTACAGATCTGACATTAATGTTCCATCGGCAGCTCCACAATTTCACACCTCGATGTCAAATTTGTTTGGAGTTACTCCAAAATCTGAACCTTCTGAAGCAACGTTTGGACGATGGCCAATTGTAACCGAGGCGTTGACCACTGAAGTGAGTATTTAACAAATTGTTTTTCCAAGTTTTCTATTCTTGTTACTGTTAATTGTAATACTGTTTAGGCTCAATGGTGCCAAATACAAGCTTATTGGGGGATTTTGCTTGCTTGGGTTTTTTCCTTTCTACGTATATCCCTTAAGTTCTGCATATTCTCCATGTTTTTGGACCATTTCGAAGTTTTGGACTGGTGAACAAAAAGTGTATAAAAATGGTTTAGAAAACCATACAGTACTTTTAGCATTTGTTAGTCGGTTTGGCAACGTATGGATAATATGCAGGTATATTTCACAGCCATCCATTCCGTATGCTGTCCACGATCCATCATATGAATTGGAAAGAATATGACAGCTCAGACTTTGATTGGGAATGAAAAAAATCAATGAATCATACGTTGGGACATGTTCTGTTAATGTTAAATATGGTTTAAAATTGAAAACGAGGTTTAAATTTTTGAAATTTCCAATGCATTCATAGGCGAAGAAATCAGCGGTGCCTCAGGAAATCTACTGAATGAAACCCCATATTCAGAGCTCTTATTTTCTAAATGTTATCGAGAAGAAAAAAGTGAGTAGTACGTTTTGCGCGCTCCAGAAATTGAAAATTTCAATTCGCTGGGATAAGAATTGCATCTGGTTGACAAAGAGATGTAGATTTTATTGGTTTTTATTATAGACCATGGCCTTAATTGGGTACTCTTTCATAATGTACATTTTCCGTACAAGCAAATAGTTTCCTCAAAGATTCCGTTTGAATAGTTTATTCGAAATGAAAACGAGTTCTACCGCTAGTGTGCCATGGTTTCAGCTGCGCTGTATTCTGTTTATGCTCTTTTAGTTCGTTTTATTGCTATTTGTGCATATGAAATGATAGAATACTTGCTGAAAGGAACATTCAGTCAATGACATCGGAACTGCTGTGCACCGCCACTCCTTATGTGGAAACGTATCCGTCGGCAAGTGCCTCATCTCTCGAATCACGTGCACATCAGATCTTCGCTGCTGATGGAGGAGGGTCACGGGGCCAGAAGCGTACCTGGAACCAGCACAACTCGGTGTGTTTTTCCAAATTTACGTCACCCTATATTTTCTTTTTTCTCACTTGTGGTTGTGCTCTGGATACTCAGTGGTATAACCAAATCATTATTATTGTTTGCAAATCTGTTGTTTACAGTAATTATTTTGCTCTAATATGGTGAATTCTACCATCATGTGTTTGGTCGGCACTTAGTTTTCGGAGATAACTGGTACTTAGGAGGTTTCACAATGGTTCACGTATTTTCCGCTATGTACATTATTTCATTGGTAAGCTAACACGAAGTTGCTACTAAGCATTTATTCGACTGGTGTATCGACGTCTGTCTTAAGAGCCGATGATTCGAGTCGGTGGTCCACAGCCGTTCGTCCTTACGATGTGGGGTCTTGGTGGTCATACCGAGTCGAATCTTTTTCATTGGAACACCGTTAATTGAAGTAATCTCACTTGGTGATGGAAGTTAACATAGGACGGTTGCTTGTGGTACCGATTTCCTGTTGATAATAGTTTTTTTTTTCAATGGAGAATCCATGTTGCAGCAGTCGGTGTTGGATAAACGAAGTACATTGATTCTTCATGTACAGGTTATGTGAAACCTGGCTACAATAGTATTCCTTCTCTACGTGCAAGCTTATCTAACACCCACTTCAGGATGGGTTGTCCGTCGAAGAATAAGTTATTACCAACGGACAATCTTCATCAACCACAACCTTCCTGTATGAAAGAGCATTGCCGGGTGAGGTTGCTTCATTAGAACGGTGCTCCACTGAAGAAGATTCGACTCGATACGGCAATGAAGACACAAAATCTAGAAGACGAACGACTGTGGATCATCGATTCAGATCATCGGCTCTGAAGAAGACGAAGATGTGCAAACGTTAGCGGAATAATCGTTTGATAACAGCCTTGTGTTAGCTTGTCAGTGAAAGAAGGTACATAGATTCTTTATACCGAGGTTAAATGGAAGTCAGTTTTCAATAGTATTCTCTTATGCCTTCTATATTTCTGTTCTTTTTTTAGTCTTAAGCAGGAAATTATCATTACATTTGTTTACTCCTGTTGTTCTTAATCTATCATGTTGGGACGAGGTGTTATACTTTTCTGTTTTGCAAACCTGTTGAACCTTCAAATTATTTGCCTTGTTTTCCGTTTAGCAAGCACTAGCGCCTGTACTTCACCCAAAACCAGAGGAGAGCGAGAAGAAGGATAAATTGCGTGAAGTAGCCTGTCAGGTTGGTATTTTGTTTTTTACAACAATCTGGAAAACAATGTTTAACGTTTTGTTTTCTGCCTTCTATAATTTTCATGGCAGGTTACTAAGTAAGCGAAATACAACCACAACGTTGCTGAGATATTTGCAAAACTCTGGACCGCAGGTGTCTATGGTGGGGAACGAACGCGCTATTGTCCTTTCCGGGGAGTAACGCGTTCACCACCACACCATGCGGGTCCTTTGTTTCGCACGTCTCTCAGCTATTTCTATCGATCTTTTTTGCCACAGCAACTGGGTTCTATGCCGATTTGCGCTCCCCAGATCAACCCCGCTGACGGGTGATTGCTGTGGCAAAAAGATCGGTAGAAATAGCTGAGAGACGTGCGAAACAAAGGACCCGCATGGTGTGGTGGTGAACGCGTTACTCCCCGGAAAGGACAATAGCGCGTTCGTTCCCCACCATAGACACCTGCGGTCCAGAGTTTTGCAAATATCTCAGCAACGTTGTGGTTGTANTTTTTTGCCACAGCAACTGGGTTCTATGCCGATTTGCGCTCCCCAGATCAACCCCGCTGACGGGTGATTGCTGTGGCAAAAAGATCGGTAGAAATAGCTGAGAGACGTGCGAAACAAAGGACCCGCATGGTGTGGTGGTGAACGCGTTACTCCCCGGAAAGGACAATAGCGCGTTCGTTCCCCACCATAGACACCTGCGGTCCAGAGTTTTGCAAATATCTCAGCAACGTTGTGGTTGTAATCTGGAAAACACTTTCTAATGTATCTGCCCCATTTATTAATCGCTCCATATTTGTTGTATTTACAACTTCTGGGACGTAGAATGGATGAATGGCTACTTTGCTCCTATACCTGAGCATTTTGCGCGCTTATTTTCTTCCGAGCAGTAGTGAAATGATCAGAAACTAAAGTATGCTATACACCTGTGGCTGATCGGTAGATAACGGACCATTTACATGCGATAGTATTGTGTCATCTGGTGAACAGACCTCCGAAGATCGTCGTGCAGGTTAAATCCTTTTTCACAACCTCGGCGTTTTCTAAACACTACGCCTTTTTGGTGTTGTAGCGTACAAAGGTGACGAACATAGTGAATTTTATATCTTCACCAAGATTTGTTATAAAAATTTAGTTGGGTTCTGCTGGGTCTTTAGGTGGTTTTCCACAGAGTCTCATTATTTGTTTGATGCTTTAAGATCTGCGGAAAACGAATAACAATGCGTCGCTGCAATCTTCGCCACCATGCCGCTGTCGTTCACTCTGGAATTGAAAGGTCTGTGAAGTTTTATGCAGTATGCGTTGAACAAAATTCATTCCGATAAAATTCGCTTCTTTTCCTTTTGTTTTCTACCAGTATTCCTTTAAAGACATGCGTGCTATGTGCTATATATACATATACATTTACATATACATATACACATGTATATGTACACACGTATATATATGCATATGTATGTGTGTATACATAAATATATACATATATATAAACATACTTGGGCACTTGGATGACCTGTCTTACTGGTTTTGCGGACCCCAGTACAATTTCCATTCACGGGAGATCTGCTGGTTTAGCCATTGTGGTTCCCTGGAGTCCCGAGGACAGCCTGGCCAAAGTCTGCCCCAGGTCGTCACCATGACACGCAGTCGCAGCCCTTGTGGATCAGAGGGAGATTTACCACCATGCGACTTTGATACCAGGACGGTGGTGGATCCTTCCATAGGTTTACTCTTAGCTGGGCTTCTTGATGGAAACGCCGGACTTCTTCTCAGCTTCGGAGGCCATGCTGGGATGTAAACCCCGCTGTATGCATGCTGATCTCGTTACCGCTTGAATTCGATTCGTTTCCTCAAAGGCTGCTGCTATCCACGTTCCCATTATCCACGAAGGTCTTCCATCTTTTGCTTATGGGTTCGGCTGCTGCTTGAAAATTTCTTTTCGTCATTACTTGCCGTAAGTACTGAGTGAATTAATTCACTCTGATATATATGATATCATGGCTAGAGCGTTCCCATATGGATTACAGAAAGTGAACTTTTACAACATTTATCAGAGCAGACAATTTTCGGACCTTGGAGCGATAACAGCGTTAGTGAGTCCAGTGCAACGTCGAACCAGCACCGTACTGGTGAGGATCGGCACCACTGCCGCTATCTCATGTACATATACATATGTATATGTATATATATATATATGTATATATATATAGATAATCGTATATATGTATAGTACATGTATGTGCACATATATATATATAATATATATATATATATGTGTATGTATGAGGAAATCCGTACTTGTCCTCGACATATTGGTGGTTTGATCTAGTTTTATCCTTCCAACTTTACTTCCTTGTGTTTTTGTATTGCGGTACCACCTCTTTGAACCTCTGTTTTTTGGACATTTGTAGTTTTGTTTTAAGCAGTGTTCGCACGATCTAATCAATTTATCTGTTTCATTGACTCATTGCGCATATGGGATTATGGAACTGACTAAGAGTATTTTAAAAGACGATGTACGGAGTATCAGTCGCAGCAGTTTTTTTTCGCTTCGGACGTATTTTACGTGCACAGAGCCAACATATGCTTTTTAACACGTATGCAGCAACAAGACTTCTATAAGAGTCTTACGTAGGGGAGGTATTGTGGCCGCCATGTCACCTACAAAGGCCATTTTCTTTCCGGTGACCTACTTTGCCCTTCAAAGTTTCTTTTATAACAGTTTTTTTATTCATTCGATTACTTGTTCAACATATACTGTGTCGCTCTTGGCTCATGGAAGGATCATAATTTGCGGAAAACGGTTTCCTCGAACGGGTTCGCCGACCTGTAGTTTGAGTGGTAATTGACTGTGTGAAACACTTCAAAATGATTACAGTAATGTGGCTGTAAGGTGGACTATAGTAGCACGTATAAATGGCGCCATACATACCACGCATAGTCCTACAGTCATCGAGAAAACTATAGTATATAATTCTATAATGGTCGAGACCCTTTAAGTGTTCTTGCTATCGAAAAATTACCCTCTATTATTGATATGCTAGGAAGTCCATAACGATGTGAAACAAGGAGTTCTTCACGCTGCAGCAAGGTAAGGCTAGGTGTCGTCACCCAAATGTTAAAAAATATTCGAAGTTGTATAAAATTTGTACTAAACTCACCTGCTAGGAAAAAGATCTACATGGAATGCTCATATGAATATGTTGTTTAGCAGACATTCAACCATTTCTTTCACTGAGCACTATTCCATTTCGTTAAGTTGGTGGTTATTTCAAGATATGCTTGCCGATGCGGCTATTCGACTGTGCATCGCAACACGATCATTCGGCATATGTTGAAGCATTCCGGGATCGAAGAAGAAAAACACTATGAGTTCACCGACATGTTGTGAGTTCATATATAGATTGTTTACGATTCGTTGCTCTTCATTGGGTTTCATTATGTTTGCGGAAAATTTTGAATTCTGCTTTTTTTTCTTCTGAGTGCATCACAGCTCCCATTGTCATCGTTTGCATTTGGCGGTTTTTCGATGTGAACAATTTTCATGAACGCATGGAAATACCGTTGTAGCATCATGATGATTGCCAGCTTTACCTCCTTTGTCAGTTAATCCTAGTTGTTGAGAATAGTTCAGTAACCAGCATGTGAGATCGTTTTTTTAGGACTCCAGCGGAGGCAGAGCGGATCGAGCATTTGACGGAGGAGTGTTTCCGAGAGTATCGAACCGTGCCTCGAGGCAACGAAGAGAATGACGATCTCACTCGGACTCTGGAGGGCATCGTCAGTGGAGCGAGTGTCTCCGCCCGGGACGAGGAACCTGAGGAAAGGGCGGGCATGTCACCATAGTAATAGGCGACATTTCTTGTAGATATGAAATATTCAAATGTCCACATTGTTTTCCTGAATCGTCTTCACTGTATAATAAAAGTTTGAACTATTGGGTTCAATTGTGCAAACCATGGAAATGTCGAGAAGAATAACACTGTGATATTGAAATGTGTCATGTCTCCGTCATGTTTTACTGTGTTTTAACGAAAATGTATGTGGTTCAATTAGGTGAAGTCCGTTCGAATTCGAATCCTCAGTAATCCCTCACCATAATTGTCATCTCTAGGCAGTCAACCTGGAAGAACACCTAGGCCGCTCTGATTTCCATCCTGAAAGTGTTGGCGTCTGTAGATGGAAATTTTAATTGGAACTAGGGAATAACTTTCATGCAAAGTTGTTTAGAAGAACAGCTGTTTCCTTTCGTATTCCTGCACATTATTTTTCGCCCCACATAGTAAAGGGTCTGGGTTTTCTCTTAAGGAAATTTATTTCCGTTTTTTTTTTTTTTTGGGGGGGGGGGGGGGGGGGNTTTTTTTCTTTTTTTTTTTTTTTTGGGGGGGGGGGGAAGTGTGCACAATCATATTTGATTCCTAATTGCTGATAATTTTTGTGTACCTGGAGAAAGTCGAGTTCTTTAGGAAATTGAGGACAACGCATGCTTACAGAGCAGCTTTGCTCTATCAGCAGAAGGACACACATTGTGTTTTCTATAGCACCTGTCTTCACATCTGTGCATACCAGATCTTCCTTCGTTGGGATTGTTTTCTTGAATCAGGCATCCACAAAGGTGGTTGGGTTTTCCGTTTTGTTTCGACTACAACATAGGGACTTTGTTGTCAAAAATGTTGAAGAGTGTTGATCGAGCGTAGTTCTCTCAAGAATCTTGGAGATAGCACTACTAGAGCGTTCCCAGGGCTTCAATACTGCCAGTGACAGGAACTCATGAGTCGGAATTGGCACTCTGCTGGCAAATCTGATACCATTGTACCGACTGGCTCATTGGGCAAGTGCAATTGAATGAGTGCATTCGTGCATAGCATGACGTCTGACCACTATGCTGAGCGATCCAGGGGAATTATGGGCGTCGGCGTCTGGAAGTTTATTGAGAATTCTTCACGTCTATTCTTTGCCATTCTGATGGCCTACTTTCTATGCGCATTTATGGAAGTCGGTCAGGCAACAAATTTCGAAAGAAGTCGTTACGCTCTTATTCTAGTTTCCTTAGTACTGTTACAAATTAACGCCTGTAAGAGGGAACGTGCGCGAAGTTCTGTTTGAATACCAACTTCATTCCTGTGTTGTCCATGCTTAACGTAGTCTCTATGCTACGTAATAAGAAGGTCTTAATGTATATGCGATGGTTTTTAACGGAGAAGTGAAGAACAGCGGTGTGACTAAGTACTTCTGCAAAGTATTTCTTGAAAAAGCGTTCTGATTGCGTTGCTTTTAGAGGGTTTTCACACGGTTAACGATTGTCAGGGAATCCATTAAGTACGGAAGTACAAATAAATGGCTTGCTCGAAAGACCGACTTTCTGTAAACCTCGGCATAGATAGTTGATATATTTATTTATGTGATCTTATAAACTGATCTTAAGCTGACGCGAGGTTAGTACAGATCTTCGTTGTCGTTGTCTTTGTTCTTGATGTTATTGATCGATGGCTGACGTTTCGGCGACTTCGCCTTCCTCAGAGCCTGGACGTACTTTATGTTAGGATACTTTTTATTATTCGGTGGAAAAGAAGGTTAAAGTATTAATGAAGATCAAACTTTCAAATAGACGCCAAATTGAACAGAAAGGCCACCCACCGTGATGTTACGTGCGGGACTGGTCCACACGTAGTTCACGTGGCGTCGCGAGCAAGACACGCCCCGATGTCAAAACATTTTGAAATAGAGCGCCGTGCCACGCGCGATAGCGAGGCATTCGTCCTTCCGGTTCATCTTTGGATTTTTGAAATTTATCGAAAACGCCTCAAGAGTTTTGCGCGTTGATGTTTTTGATTCCTGCGCTGGGATCCGCACAGTCACTTCAAAATCATCGCCGTTGTGCTTTTGTGCCCTATGCGTACCGTGTTTAAACGGATTTTAGCTTTCCCATCTAGATGTTCTTTTATGCGGACACAAAGTGGTCTACCCGTTTCCCCGATATATTCCTCGCCGCATGCATTACATGAGATCAAGTATATTATACCTGGACTCATGCATTCCCCGTCTCTCCCGTTAGGACAGATCATACAGTTTTCTGAGCTGCACAAACGATCATAGAGACGGTTTCGAACTAACTGACGGCGTAGGGTATTGGATGGGATGTCAATAATCGTTGCATAATTTTCAAGACCACTTTTTCTTAAGCACTTTTTAATGGCTTGGTGTTATTTTGCTATGCTCTCTGCTTCCTCTGTCGATATTTCTTCTTAGGTCTTAGTCCCATGGGTGTAATCGTTGAGGTGATATTTTATTTATGTAAGACTTAATCAATCATTCTGGACTACCATTTAGTTTTTCATGCATTTTCTAGTTAGCTATGTAGACGCCGTGATATCCGAATAGCTCGTTGGTAGTGGTGACAGTATTTGATCGAAGGTGTTCAGCACATCAACCAAATTACGATCGGATTCTTCGTAGCCACCTTAAGGCTACTAGCATTCTTGTCAATTCTTCCGAAATGTCATTGGCCTGGTATTAAAAAATTTGTAGTTTGCGTTGTCTGCTTAAATATTCAAATACCCAAACGAACTGGAAGCTCTTTTTCGTTTGTATTCGCCACATGGGCGAGTGTGGCTCAGTGCTCGGAGGCTCCCTGCAACACACAAGTGGGGTCGATCTCGGCGCCTTGGCTCACCAACCCTTCCATCCCTTCGGGGTCGGGAAGTTGGTACCAGACTTGTCTGGGAGGATAGCAGCGCTGGCTCGATATGTCGGTAGGCCAGCGGGAGTTATTGTAGAGGCCAAATATGTATTCAATCACCTCCAAACGATGCTTAATGAGGTCTAATGCATGGCGTATCCCTCAGGGATTGATCGACGCCTAGAGCTCTATCCTTCTTTATTCGCCAGCAGTTGCATGCCGTTGTTTCTTCCAGATATAAGCACTTTTTTCAGAAGTATTAATAAGAAGATAGTAGTGGCGTTCAATGATGACATTGATCTGCTGTCTTTTCGACATTTCCCTATTGAGAGATGCAGGACTCAATCCTTTGCTGAAGGCATCTAAGATTTTGGACAGGTGTTGTACAGCAGCGGTAGAACTGCGTGGTTTCTTCAGTGTCACAAAAGTTAGAAGTGGGGTGACGCAGAGGAAGATCTTCTCTACGTTTCATTAACGAATGCTAGATTTACAATTTTAGCGACAATTGTAACGACATTCACAACGTTGCTGAGATGTTTGCAAAACTCTGCACCGCAGGTGTCTATGGTGGGGAACGAACGCGCTATTATCCTTTCCGGGGAGTAACGCGTTCACCACCACACCATGCGGGTCCTTTGTTTCGCCTGTGGGGAACGAACGCGCTATTATCCTTTCCGGGGAGTAACGCGTTCACCACCACACCATGCGGGTCCTTTGNTTGCAAAACTCTGCACCGCAGGTGTCTATGGTGGGGAACGAACGCGCTATTATCCTTTCCGGGGAGTAACGCGTTCACCACCACACCATGCGGGTCCTTCGTTTCTCCTTACTCTCAGCTATTTCTATCGATCTTTTTGCCACAGCAATCACCCGTCAGCGGGGTTGATCTGGGGAGCGCAAATCGGCATAGAACCCAGTTAAGCTATGGCTGTAGTTGAAATCACAATGTTTAACGTTTTGTTTTCTGCCTTCTATAATTTTCATTAGTAACCTGCCATGAAAATTATAGAAGGCAGAAAACAAAACGTTAAACATTGTGTAACGACATTGTTTTTGACTGCACAACAAGTTCTTGTGTTATCCAAGACGAAGATTAGAAGTGGAGCAGTCTACTATGTCCTCTGAATACGAACATTACAACCACCGAGAACTACCATCCATATTCGATGAGGATTTCGTTTAGGTCAATAAACTTCGTCTTTTCGAAGGTGTCTAATTTGAATTCTCAGCTCGAATAACATAAAGAGCACTACTCTAGAAATCTGTGCCCCTTTATTTTGATGTTCTTTTGGAGAAAATAGCTGCAGGTGCCACACCAAGCTCTCAAAAATCCTTAGGTAGTGTCGAACTCTTTCTCATCTTGGATGACTTATGCTGAGTTATAAAACCCCGCTAGTTTCATAGTTCAACAACTTCAAACCAGCCAAGATGGAGCTGCACTCTATTGGGAGTCACTTAAGTTCTTTAAAAGTGTTGTAAATTACAATAACGAAACGGTAGCTTGGCAATTGTATCCAGTGTATTTCTTGCATTCTTGAGAAAGGTTCACGATGGTGGTTCCTCAGTTAAAGGTTACTGGAGCAGCTTAGCTAATTGTGAACCCCTTTATAGATGTTTTCGTTGGTCACTGTTAAGCACATCGACCATTTCAGATCTCACGTCGCTCGCACGAAATCCATTTAAGGATTCCAAATCGCTCTGAACAGGTGTAGGTCTATGTCAATTTCTTGAGCAAACCACTGTGTGAAGTTCCTTGCTGGTGTTATTACCAGATTCAGCCACGCTACGCAAACAAGTTAAAATCGAGAAATAATAACATCTACGTTTCAACGGTTCAATCTTGGTGATCGGTTAGTTTCTTATGCTAATCTAGGACTTCACTTGAAAGAGTGTTCTCTATGTTTGCACGAAAGTGCACTGTGTGTTTATGGGGGGTTTGTTATCTAATAACATTGCTAAATATGCTATACGCATCACCCCAAAGGTCAATGAGGTGACAATTAGATCAGGCAAAGGTTAACAGGCTAGAGATGTTTGCTCTGATGAATTTGAGAGGGTGGTTCTGTAATAAGTCAGCATCAAATTTTTGTCTTCTAAGAAAACCTGCATTGAAACTATAAGTTTTGGTTAGGAAGTATTTCCTAAGTGCTGTGTGGTATCGATCTCT